TTCTTCACTTTTTCTAATATGTATTATATTGTGCTATTTAAAATATAAAAGAATATTATTACATTCTTATAAATATCATAAAAACTAATGTATCATTATAAATACTTATGGAATATCATAAATACTTACTGAAGTTTAGCATGAGGGAATATATATTTAAGACAATGTTTTTTCAAATAAAAAAGAACTAAAGTGACAAATTGAAGTTATTAACTTTTTATTTTTAGCAATTAACACCTATAATTGCCATAATAAGTATTAAGTCATCTCTAGTTTTCTTAATAATACTAGTATTAAAGCGATTTTTCTCTTACAGTGTAATGGACCAACACAAGTTATCTAAGGAGCAATGGGAAGAAAGAATTATGAATTGGTGGGCTGAGCACAAAGGAATGCCTCGGTAATGTAACATGAATTAATTAGCTCTTTAATGCTGGTGTAAATTGCATTATAAAATATTTATGCATTTGTCTCATGATTCTTCTATTTTAGGGAAGATGCAATGATGGAGTATTTGAAAATAGCCCAAGATCTTGAAATGTATGGTGTGAATTATTTTGAGATAAAAAACAAAAAAGGAACAGATCTGTGGTTAGGTGTTGATGCACTAGGTTTAAATATTTATGAAAAAGATGACAAGTAAGTTAGTTTCTTGATCAAAGAAAATGCTTCTTTTCTTCAGAAATGATTTTCTTGTTTCAGATAAAAAAATTGTGTATAGTTGTTGTTGGGATGTCAACGATTGCAAATTTTGATAGTTTTAATGAATTTCACCTTTGATTAAAAAAAACTTTTGAAAACCGTAAAATATTTTAATGAACTATTATCTGAATTGTTTTGCAATTTGATTGCTCATGTCTGCCAACTCTACTGGTTTTACTAGCAGACTCTTGGATTTTGTCAGTTTCTCCTAATCTGCTGGTTTAAAAATTTTTACCTGACTTTTATATATTAAAAAGAATTCCTTAAAACTGGGTAAGTTTCCTTAAAAAAAATCTCCATTTAAATAGAATTTTTACTCTGTTTATTGCTTGCTTGAATATTTAAATATATATTGCTAATAATGACGTGAGCCTCATTTATAGTAGGTAATTAATTTGGAGTTTATTTTCATCTGTTCAAAAATTTTCAGTTTCTTATTCAGAACTTCCTTTAACAGGGTTCCCACGGTCCTTGAGAGTC